GCATATGCCATTCTGCCAAAACCTTCTAGTTTCGGAAAGCAACCCTAACTTAAGGATTCTTTAGTATAGAATTTACACGAGCATTTAAAACAATGTTTACTGTATCTGTTACAACATTAGTTGATGATATAACAGATGAGGATTCTCCTTATTTATTTGTTGAATTAACAAATCATTTACAAACGGTTATTTAAATTTTTAAATTTTTTTATGATAATGAATTGGGGTTTTTTTATTTTATTATCTTTAGTTTTTTAATTAATTAAATATATACACATATATTATTATTGTTGTTGTTTCTATTTATATAGCCATTTACATTTGATAAATTGGCAGTTAGATTAGTGAGTGGACAAAGTGAAGAAATTTGGTTTGTAGTTTTGGATCAAGATTTAAGTCCGGGACAAAATAAATATAAATTATATTCTGATGTAAGTAAAAGAATATATTTACAAATATTATTTATGATTGGGATTATTAAATTATCAAGTAATATATATATGCCACACATCCATATATCTATATTAATATATAATATCTACTTGACATTATTTTATTTATTTGTTTATTCAAATATTAGAATAGTGCATCAGGAAGCTATTTTATTGAAAATGTTTGTATGTTTATGGGAAAAATTATTTTCACACACAACTTTTTAAATGAAAGTAAAAAATCATTTAGAATCAATGAGCATCCTGCAGTATTAAGAGCACAGATTATAGCACCTAACGAAAGTAAGTAATAATAATAATAGCAATGTTGACAATAATGAATCTGGTGATAATATTATTACAAGATTATTTATATTGTATATTTTATTAGTTCATATTGGAGAACAGCAATGCTTTGCTGTAAAAATTTATACTGGACTGACCAGTGTAACTGAAGGAAATTTAACATTAGAACCTGTTTCTGAAGGTTTATCATTTCCAACTCATGAAAAATATCATGCATCAATTAAATCTGTAAAAAGTAAGTTATATGTGTATGTGTATAGATCAAAGATTTGTTTATTTATTTCCTTTAAAAATAATTATTATTATCATAGATGATGATGAAATATTAAATGAAACATTGGAAGAAGTAGATTTGATTGTTACTGAAAAAGGTGAAATCATATTACCATCATCACCACCAAATCAATTAATAGAATTTAGAGTACCATATGATTGTAGTTGGGGAGCTGCTATAGAACATAAAGTCTGTATATATATTTATTCATTATAATATATATTTATATATTTTCTACTTTCACTTACGCGCAAGAAAAAATCAGGTTAAAATCTCTATAGAGTATGAAAGTAGAGGGAAACCAAGAGCATTTACATCTGTAGATACTGTTAAAGTTTGGTTGCCATTATCAGTAACTGAATTAAATATATTTAGAGATGATTGGTATGTATATTATATATATTATATTATATTATATTATATTATATTTGTTTATTCATTGAAATTAACTGTAATTTTTATTGATTT